TACCTTAGGAAAGCCAAGAGCTCTTCAATAGAAGAAAACCTTTTTATACTCTTAGCCAAGTACACCTTTCCAGYCTCTTCAAAACAAATCTGTGATAATGATAAACAAGTCAGATAAATTAATGTTAACCAAGAACAACAAAACCTACTAAAATCTTAATATACTATCTGGTGAAATTCTATGCTAAAATGCAATTGTTACCCAGGTTGAACATCTTAGAAAGATCTTGTAAGATCATGGAATATCTTACAAGATCTTGAAAAAGCCTTGGCAAGAACNGATGGTACAGGGATGATATCTTAGTGGTGTACCTACCGATGGTACAGGGATGATATCTTAGGGGTGTACCTACTGATGGTACAGGGTCGATGATATCTTAGTGGTGAACCTACCTATGGTACAGGGATGATATCTTAGGGATGTACCTACCGATAGTACAGGGATGATATCTTAGTGGTGTACCTACCGATGGTACAGTGGTGTACCTACTGATGGTACAGGGATGATATTTTAGGGGTGTACCTACCGATGGTACAGGGATGAATGATATCATTTGATCACTTTTATATACCTAACAAGGCAATTTGATACACATTTGATCCACCCTATATACCTAACAATTCAATTCGATACACATTTGATACACATTCGATCCACCCTAATTATTTTTTTTCGGTCTGGTATCCTAGTCATTTGTGAGCTGTGATTGGCTAGCACGTGGCCCGGTTTTTCACGATCTGCCCAGTCCACCCTATGTACCTTTAACAAGTCAATTCGATACACATTTGATACACTCGATACGCATACGATCATACAACACAATGATTAATTGAATTTAAAGTCATTCAGTTATGTGTCATTGAGTGGAATATTAAACACAGGTGCAGAACCAAATCTTAATCAAGATCATGCCATAATTTATTCAGATTCTTGCCATGATAAAATTAAGCTCATGCTAAGATTACTGAAGTTCTTGCTATGGTGATACCATGAACATGCAATGATCTTGTAAGATTATGGCAAGATCATTCAAAATAAAGGTAAATGGTATCTTTCCATGAAATGGTGAGATCTTGCCATGAAACTGGCAGGATCTTGACATGATCTTATCATGATCTTGTCACAAGATCCCGTAAGAAGCTGCAAGAAATACAAAGATCTTTTGTTTTTTAGCAAGATCAAGGTATGATCATGGAAAGATCATGGTAAGATCATGCATGATATTCCATGAATCTTGCTAAGATGTTGTGCGTATATACTATCCATTCTTGGGCTCAACCAAAGTTTGTTTTTCGTCAACAAAGATTGTAAAATTTCTTGTTAAATAGCATCCTCAGAATATTATAATGAGCAATAAATTAACTATATATTATTATCAAAATATTTTTACCTTGAAATTATAAAATTCTTGTTGGCTGTCCTCAGTTTTGTTATATACAGTCAAAGCCTAAATTAATGAACAAAAACAAATGAAGAGTGACTAAGAGTTAATATTTGGGTTTCCTTTRCCAAAGGTATCCCATGAAACTTACTTTTGATCCTGGTGAAGATACAGAATCTCGCAAAACAAAGCAGCCATTTCTTTCTTCAAGAGGATAACTTTTGATAGCATCCAGCAGAATTTCTTGATAGTCCTGATTGAAAATGTCCAGAAAATCTTTCATTCTTATAAAAAAATATGTAAATATACACTCAATTAAACTTACAGCTCTTGACTTTGTTCTTTCTTTTGTAAAAGTCTGATTTGATTCAGTTTCTTCAATACCATTTGCTTTTGGAAATACTAAAGGCATATATCGTGCTTCATCTGTTGTTTCATTGTCTTTMSTACTTTCAGCCTTGTCAKKAAAACTGAAGTCTTTTGGTTTTTCAATTRGCAGGTTATTGTGTGTGCTTTCTTGTTGGTTTTGCTTKATCTCTGCATTACTYGGTGGTTTAGAAACATGCKGTGGTTTTGTTGGTTCAAGAATGTTGTAAACAGGCTCATTATTAGGAGCTTCATTATGTAGTAAATCTACTCTAGACATCGTGTTTGGTTCAGATTCATTAGGAACATCGGCMTCAGGTACATCTTTACAACTACTGTCGGCTTTGTTTTCATTATCACTAGAATCAGGTGCAGGTTTGTCAGAAGGTTTTTCATCATTATTACAAGTTCTTAGCTCATCTTTCTTTTCTTCAGTATCATTTGAAGGATTCTCTAGCACAGAATACTCAGGTTGTTTTGGAACTAAAGGTGACATTTTTGGAGTTGCTTCCTCTGGTACAGCATATATTGGTGAGTTTGTCTTGCTTCTTGAATTTGTTGGATTTGAAATAATATTGGTTGACATATAGGGACTAAGWGCATTTCCTGAGGGTGGGCGTTGTTCAGATCTGTCTATAGGTTCTGGGCAATCATAGGAATTTTGAAATGTGCTTCCTGTCTTAGTGTTTCTAAAGTCTAAAGATGCTTGGTCATAATTGGGCATCAAACTAGCGCGACTTGAAACCACACTGATGTTATCATGRCCTTCACTCTGAGGTTCTGTAATACTATCAGATGTTGGAGCTGCAATGAATACAAAATATGTTGGTAAGAATATGAATGTCAGTGATCTTTTCAATTGAAAATCAAAAAAACATTCAGTGCACAAGATTTGCTAGGGTTGCTTCTCTCACTGTGTCTATCTCAGGGGACAAGTAGCATATAGTGATATATGCTGGATTRTATGAGAAATGTATTGGACGAGCTTGAAACAAAGTTGATGATGATGGGCAATGATAACGATGCTGAGGCCCTAATGATACCTACATCGTCGTGGAGATAAGGGTTCAATACTTCCATACACTGCATTTTGGTGATGTATTCCGTCGCGGATGAGAGGCTATRAAAGAAACATCAAACATTTGTTACAACGTAATGAAGTTGTCCTTCAGTAGCATCGTATTGCACAACTCCTTATATTYGCATATATGTAAATTTCCTTCACTCTCCTGATTATGTCGGCGACCGACRAAAGCTTGAAAGTAATAAACTCATCCCAGCAGTAGCTTRTGGCCTAATTTCAACTTGATATTTGTTACAACCACTACATATAAGCTTACTTGATCCCTTGACTTCTATTTACAGATCGTATTACAATTTTGAAAGATACCCTCCCATTGAATTACTCTAAATCAGTAGCAGTGCTTGAGCTTGTAATGATAAACTGTAAATGATTTTCWTAAATCAAAATATCGAAGCAGGCACAGTGGATAATTATAAATACAAATGCGGCAAATAGKGCACAGCTTCCCCTGACGGATGCGCCTGAACTGTWAAAAGGAGTTCGCTTCTCTTCAAAGATCATAACTTTAATGTCGTTCTGATAACAAAAACTTACTTGCTCACTGCTTGTTGTATAGCTATCAGTGCTAACAGTACTTCTTAATCGTTTAATGTAACGCCTCTTTGCTCGAAGTCTTACTATACAACAGATGAAGGTAACTAAAGGGAACATTATAAGAAGCAGGGCAGCTATGGCAAAAACTCCATAAGCCCAACTCGAGTATTCACAAARATACTGATCTTTACTGGCGTCGTATCCAGRATAYGTGAATGCTGGGCATTTTATAGAAGGACTACTCGGCGGCTTTGTAGTAGTGACGATGGTGGGTGCCATCTTGGAATTTGATATAGCACTAAAAGGGCAAAATAAAGTACTTTTTCCTTGCTGAATTTGCTTCCTCCTTGTTCTTAATGGCTAAGCTGAAACTTAACATCCARCATGCTTTCCAAAGGAAGTAAAATTACGATGTCCTATGTAGTAGGCTGCATGCTATTTCCTTCATTTTCATCCTTTTTTGTTACGTGAGCATAGCATACAGGGATCCCAAAAAAAAATACCAAAGGAAGCCCACTGTGAGCGAGTCCATGAGGTCCGCGCCGGTCAATTTCTTTCTCCTTTTTTCTTGACATATTCACGACCTTAGACTTAAAATGAACACATTGAACGATTCTGAGATTTCATATAATATAATCCGATATAGTGATCCCATCCCTATTTATTATCTCAAATAAACTTCAGAGTGGGCCTCCAGACATTTTCAGAGAGGTGTGTTGGGGGGGGACTTACCATGATTCAAATATATTTCAAAAACACTACGAATATTTTCCGAGATGGAACTTTTCAGAATCGAGATTGTGACATGTAAAAAAACGCAATAAAAAATTACGGACGGTTTTATTTTAGAAGAATTTTTTCATCTTCGTCTCTGAAGAAATTAGAAAGAGRAAAATTCTTTTAACATTACAATAAGAAATCTAGCACCAATGTTTTGCCATGCACGAGAAAGCGGCACACAAGAAATAAAAAATCAACGACTGGGATCTATTCAATGATAACCTTTTTATTCGACACGATGATATACAGTTTTCGTACATGTATGCATGCATCTTAGCCTAAAAACTGTATACTATACTATTTCATCTTAACCAGTTAAACCTAAATACACAATAGTAGGAGTATCTGTTTCTGAGTCCACTTTTATAATCCTGGAAAACCTTTGATGCAAATGCCTTTTAAAATGTACAAAGTGTTGGTTGAGGGATTCAGATCTAACAATATGTTAATGCTCGCGAAGATAAAGATATAAAAATGCGGCGCGATACCATTTGTGTCAGCGAACTATGAAGCCGGAACTACTGTAGCCTGGGGATTTCCTTTTCTACGGGCCGTTTTTACAAAGTCCTATATATATTACAAAGATGTGCTCGTTTGTTATCAGAAAAACCCATTAGCTATTACACAACGTTGACTTTAAATGACTGATAATCGCGTGACGAAATTCTCCTTAATCAGTGAATTGACTTTTCAGGCAGTGAAAACTGATTCGTCTTATCATGACCAATCTTTTTCCTGTCCTAATAGTCCTAATAGGCCCTAACAAAGTATACTTTCAGATTTAGAGTAAATCTATATAAAAACGTGACACTTCTTTTCTACGTTCTCAGTCTCGAGTAAAACTTAATATATAAGCGTTGTTTTCATGAATAGAACTAGAGAAGCTTACAATAACCCAGCCCACAGCAAGTTGTTGTATCTTCGTCCTTTACTTTTCTGTCCGCGAGGTACTGGTTAAGAGAGAGGCTGTTCTCTTCTGATAGGTCACATTTTGGCGGCCATCGATGACGTTCAATGTAGTCTTTATCTTTTGAGCTGAGTAGTTTATATTGTACGCAGTTGTTGAAATGAACGTAGTTTCTTGCGATCAAACTTTTGCACCATTTCTCAAGTTGCGGCGCATTGTGTTTCTAAAAGAAAGTAATCAAAAAAGGTGTAAAATGCAACTATAGATATCAGTCATCGGATCTAACATGTCGTTCCTGCTTCCATTCGTTATTTGAAATACACGGATGTCGTAAAGTACTGATAAAGCACTCTGACAAAAAGCCTTAAAGTCCCAAATCTGTGCTGTTCTTCCGTCAAAAGTCTTATTTTGCATTTTAAAAGTTAACTTATAAGGTGTCTTTTGAAAATTTGAATTCATTCAGATGTTTTCATCATCATTTCGCGGACTGCATTTCTTAGAAAGCTCTTTTTTGTGAAATACTTACTGCGTTCTTTATGCGAAAATTTTTTCAAATTTCAATCGATTTAAATCGGCATCATCACATGAATACAGAGAGCTTTCCGAGTCGATAAGAGGCCGCTTGTTCATCACTTCACGATACGGAMACAWGCAGTGTTCTTGTCCACTTACCATTACCGAAACTGTAATGAATCATTTCTGAAATTTCTATTTTTATGTAAGTGTTGTTATTGTAATGTTGTTGTTGATAGAGATGTTATATTACATTATATTACTATTATCATCATATCACTGCCATTACCTTTGCAACAAGAAAGATTTCAAGGACATTTTCCTGTTTGCTGTCCTCATTAAGGCTCACAATAAGTTTGTATTCGCACAGAGAAATTAGCCGTGGTAGCTGATACACTGTAGCGAGTCCCAACACTTCAAGAAGAACCTCTTGTTTAAGATTTTTGTTGACGTCATCTGTGTAGAGGTACTCCAAGAGGCTCTTGAAGGTTTCTACAGAAACGTCATCTATCTCAACCTACAAACAAAATAGATAAATAGTTGTCATTCTTACTTCGAGGACTGAAGAGAATTCATTGCTATTCTTTGTCGGGCGGAATTTAGGAAAGGAATTTCAGAACCGGCGGGACTGACGAATTAAGTCACAAGTGAGTGGAATACACTGTACCCTCCCCCCCTGGGTACGCCACACGGCTTTTCACCCTCAATTCTAAAAGGAAGGTCCCAGGAAGGGCGTATAAAGTTATCAGTCTCATGCATGTCGTCATTACTTCAACTGTTACACATACAGATGTCGATGTTGTTGTCGTCGTTAATTTGTTGTACGTTGCCTTGTTTCTGTAGATGTTATATGTTATTAGCTTTTTAATATAGTCCGCCGCTGCTGCTGTTATCGATGCTGCATAGAATATGGTTTTATTCTTACTTTGACTCTGACGCAACTAGGATTATCGCGGCGATAGTCCGATATCTTGTTGGCTAATGCTCGACTTCGTGCGGTAATAACGGCTTGGTGAGCGTAGATAAGGACACCCTGTACCTGAAACACCAAGTCGTCTAGAAGAGGTTTATCGAAAAACAAGTCTTTTAAAACTGTGGCTTTTCCTCCTCCTACGAAACTTGGTTTCATTGTATTTTCCATTTCGTTGTCTTCTAAGACATTCTCGCAGGCCTCGAACAGCTCTGTAAGACGAAAAGTCCTTGCAATAGCCAACAGCTCATGAATGGAGTCGCTTTTCCGAAGATCAGCGATCGATGCACCGACGTAAAGGAACTCAACGAGTCTAGCAAACTCGTGTCTTGGCACCTTCTCGCACACGCGTATTTCAACCATACGTTGAACAAGGACAGCGTTTTGGTCGTGAGTTACAGGCCATGAGACCTTTTCAAACATCTCATTGAGGCGACCAGATACTTGAGACTTGGTTGTTCCAGTGAAGATATCCTGAAAGAGTTCAGGTGCAGCACTAATAAGAATGACTTGATGTGCCTCGATAGGTGACATGGGACAATCTGGGAATGTAAAACGAACATCGCGACAGGTCACGTCATCCTTCATTCTTGCTAGATCCTCCACACAAGTTGAAGCAAGAACATTCACCCCTGGGCACCTGGGTGCATTTTCTGAAAAAAAAGATGAATATTCTTTTTAGTAAATATGTATTCTGTGGATTACAACTGTCATTCCACCGCCGTGGATCAGGATTTTTTTTAAGGCTTCAATGTTTCTTTTTGTTGCAGGATGTTACTATTGTTATGTTGTTCATTAGTCATTGTTTTTATGTTTAATGCTGTGTGTTTTTTTTTGCAAAAAATGAAAACTCTCATTTTTCACGTCATCCTCATTCATATCGTGCTACAGGGGTCAAATGTTATTTTCAAGTGAGTCATACGCTCACTCGTAAGAGATCTTTTCAACTCTCCAAAGATAAAATTCACATCTCCTCGCGCCCATGGATATCTTGTATTTCTTCAGTACTTTGGACACAATTACATTCTGACCCTGGAAATAAGCTTACCCATGCCGTAGTTACCACTCGGATCAATGACAAGACCACTGGGGAAGAAAAGTGTCGGTCTCGTCTGTAGTTTCTTTCTGAGAAAAAGATATCTCCTTTTCTTCCTTTGCTTTTGTCCATTGACAGCTAAATGTACCATGATATGTGCTGCTTCTTGTACGCCTTCGCCCGTCACGGGACAGCATTGCACACACAGGRTTCCCAGGGATTTGACTATTTCCTGTACTTCAGACATCGGAACTGGTTCGCTTTGGTCGCTTTTAACAAAGACCAGAAAGACAAACATGAGATTGGGGGTAAAGATACCCTTTTGTAAACGTTATCTTTACTCAGACAGAGTTTCCTGTTTCAACATCGACAGCAGTGGTGTTCATAAATGGATTACAATATTTTTTTATACTTACACGGCATCATTTAAGCTTGCAGCTGTACAATAAACCCGACTGACTTTTCTGGTTTATTCGCTAATTGTTTTCATAACTGATTCGTTTGTTAACACCTCTACGTGTCAGTTTAATATGTGATATGAACACGCGATCAAAARAAAATTAAGTATAAGCTTAAATCCCTAAATCATAATGCAATTGTAATGAACTATTACTCACAGTCGATCTGTCTGGTTCAGTGATTCCAGCCTAGCAGCTATCACCAGCAGTGGGGCATTCAAAATGTTGAGTCTCATCTGTTGGTGAAGGCTTGTCATGTTCTTAAAAGAGCTTCTTTTAGAAATGTCAAATATCATTACAAAAATATCAGGTTTGGGGTACTGAAATGCTTCTAAACTTTGAATATCATCTTCGTTGCGAGCTCCCCAGAACTGCAGCGTGTAGCATCGCTTGTTGTCGAGTAAGTAAGAAGAAGTGTGAGTGTTGTGTGGAAAGCCGGAATCGTCCTCCACGTTGTCTTTTTTAGAGAGCGAAAGTGCATCTCCGTCCTCTCCAAAGACTAGTCGATCGAGGTAACTTTTAGTCGTATGGAAATCACCCAGAACAAATATCTCAACAACGCCTGACTGCATTCTGATCAGTTGGCTCCCTTACATGTAAGTCATATTTGCGAAATTTGGTTTCAAAAAGTTGTGTTTTTCCATCTGTGAAAGGGTTCGGTCCTTCGGCCTTCTATATTTAGTTTGTACTGATGTTTTGGTTGTCTTCCAACTGTTGAGGACTAGGAACCACTATTTTATATATAGATTTTGATTGGTTAATCTCAACCAATGAGATGTGCTGTTATATGAAAAGGCGACAAGACGCAGTGGCATGGGTTCACTCGAGGTCATCTATATCGTTTGTAGTTCGTACTTCCTTCAAGWAATATGGATAAAAGAAAGACAAACTTGCGGAATTTTAACTCCAGAGCACTCAATAGAAGTCGTGGGATGACAACTGCAGAGCTAAGAAATAGAAAAAAGCAAAACATGGTGTCAAAAGGAGGACAAGATCTCAGATCTCGACTTGATGGCTCTGCCARTAAAGTGTTGGATGCAAGGACAAAACTCCAGCAAAAACGCTCCGTTCAACAGCTTACAGAAAAGACTAATGTTACATTGAATGAACGCAGAAAACAGCAAAGGTCAGACCTTCATGCGAGTAACCGTTCGTTAAGTTTAGAGAGTGGAACTATCAAGATCACTTCAAAGCAACAGTTGCCACCGAACAGGTCAGCGAAGCTCACCGGCCAAACTATAAAAATAACTGCGAAAGTCGATGTTCAAAGCAAATCAAAGTCCAAAAACCGTATTAAAGACAAAGATCGAAACCTGCAACTGAATAATACCGGGGGTATTACCATCAAGGCAAAATCTGAACCTTCACCACGACGAAAGAAGTATAACTTTGGTATGCCMGACAAACTACACATGGATCAAGTCAATGGTCAAGAGGACATTGGTTATTATGAATATAAAAAATTCAAAACTGCTCATGCTATGGAGAAACAACTGCTAGCACTCTCTCCTCCCTGGAAACAACCAGCAGCAATCACAGATAGACTGGATGGTCCCATGATGGAACCTCGCAGAACACCACAACCCCAGACATCAACCAAGGTCACCATCACCAACCTACATCCATCAGTGACAAGGCAAGACATAGAAGAACTGTTTGGTGTTGTAGGTGTCCTGAAGAGTTGTAAAATACCACATCCAGGAACTGCAGAGGTTGTTTACACCATCAAGGAAGATGCAATCACAGCATAYGCAAGATATCATAACCGTAATCTCGATGGCCAGCCCATGCAATGTAAGCTAAGTGCTATGCAGACATACAGTACTCCGCATACCATGCCGTCAAYGCCTCCTGTCCGACCTGCTGCTCCACCATCACCCAAACTATTCCATACCCCAGTACTACCATATGTACCTTCCAAACGACCTTCGGAACAACAGTTGATGCCGCCATCTCAACCAGTAGTGTTTAAAGTGAAGATATGATGATAAACTCTCTAWTGACCTTTAAAATATGTTATGTGCATGAATTATGCATGAGGTTAGGTATTACCTTCAAGTTCATTTGAATACTATCCACTTGACACCAAGAGTTGTGACAGGTATTAGACTGGTCCTTTTGTGAACTTGATGACCCATTTGTTATTAAGTAAAGAGCTTTAGCTTTACACAAGCAGTATAAAACATTGTTTTGTAAAAAAAAATATATTCAAAATATTATTAGAAGTAAAAAAAAGGTTTCATGAGAGTGGTTATTAAGCTTTGCAGAGTATAGATAATAGATTGAGCAAAAACATTTGTAGTCACTGAAATAACAAGGGATTATTGGAAACCACTCAATGAAAACTGCATTGACAAAATATAAAAGAATTTTATATTGTTAAAGCTGGTAAATATCACAATGATTTTTGTGTTAAGCTTTTTTGATTAAAGTATTTGAATCAAAGTACAATCAARGTCTGCATTAMGTTTGYCTTTGAGAAATGTGAAGCTTAACAAGGAAGGTTGGCTTGCAAGGGTTCACTACAATGTTTRTGTCTGTTTACACTTCTGAGTTTCAATTAGTCTGTCATTTAAGGACAACTRTTATCTCATGTTTTTTTTAACATCCATTGATTGCAGTAATGGGCATACAACTATGCATTATGTTTATCAAAGTTGTTTTCAAGAAGATTCTTCATAATAAAAGGGTTTTTGCTACATTTTCATCACAAAATTTTAAAACATTTAAAGAACTTTCTAAGCACAAAAGTTTCCCGCTTTCCAGGGCTTTTCCAAAGAGCAAAAACTAAAAACCCTTCTATAACATGCTCTAGACACCAAGTGTCTGGATCCATTAGATATATAAAATGAAGTTGGTTTTTGTGGTGTTCACAGATATTGGTCACCCACCCTCTTGACAGCGGCATACTGCACGCCACATGAAACAAAGACTCACGATTCTGCATTTGTCCTCTATTCAGTAGTTAAAATCTGTTAAAAAGCATGTGTAGAAAGTCTCACGAGAGAATACTCAATAATGGGAACAACTAAATACAAATTTATCAATAATGATTATGTTAAAATGTTTTCGTACGAAAGCTCGGAATATTAAAACACACGTAGAAGGAACAAAACTGAGTATTAATAATGATTATGTTTACATAATTAACAGAGAACCCTCAAGCTACTAGCTAGCTCGGAAAAGCTTGATCTTAGAACTTGACACCATTATCTTTAGCATGYACCAGCAATGCTTAATTGTTTCCCCAAGAGAAAACRRTGCACAAAGCTATTGTTCTTCTGGTGTTCTGAAAGAGTTGTAATCCTATGACAAGTTGAATTTTCAGAATTTGGTTTTGATATCATTAACAATACCTTGGCTTGAATTTGCATATACCATAATGACTCAAATTGAACCTGACCACAGATATAAAGAATCGTTGGCCACCTGCAGAATTTTTTAGTCTGAGTCTACAATTAACTAAATCTTGACTGGTGGTAAGCCAAGCCCTGACTGGTAAGCCAAACCCTGAGCTACATTCATACAACTTTAAAAGCTCTTGGGGAACCATGTATTGTCATTTATTGTATCAAATGTTATTTTGAAGCTTCACGATTGTGCTGGAGAAACAGCTGGTGCCAAACTGGAGATGAAGGTGATGGCCTTGAGAATGAATGTCCTGGCAAAGCCTGGGCATTTAYCATGACTGGCTATTCCCTCAAATCCTCTTCTAAACTCTGTAAAAAGTACCCTGTCAAATGTAAAACAGAAAAAATAGTTTGGAATTTTATTGATCATCATGATTTTGATGTTTGTTATGGCCCAGAGAAGAGAGTTGCAAATATGAGTTTGATTGTCAGGTATGACAGCCATGTACAGAGGGAGTCCTTGGACAAACCCTCTCTCACTACTATTGAAAGGGGGGACCTTCCAGTTGTCACATCCCCCAGGTTTGCAAGATGATAATATTGGAAGCAAAAATCAAAAAGGGAAGGGATTTTATGCATTTACTAAGGTAGATTTGTTATCATTACCTGCAGTATGGGTTTCTTCTTGAAGCATATCTTAGTCCCAAGAAACGATAATATACAAATGGAATGACAATACCCGCTTGTCCACTATATTAACAAAGTAGATAAATTAACAATCATAAATTTGACAAAACTCATGTGATACATTGGAGGTTTATAATGACCTTTTGCTTTTCTACAGGGGTAACCATTTTTGCAGGTGATCAAATCAAACAAAAGAAGAAAATATAAATCCATCAAGCTCTATGCTTTGTAAATTATTTCTTTGATAATTATTAAAGACCCTATGGAATGGTCTGGCCAGGATTAAACAGGATTTAACCAGTTAAATCCTGGTCAGACCATTCCATAGGGTCTTTAAATTATTTATCATAATACAATAAAATTTGAAAGAAAAAGAGGAAAGTTTGTGTCCCTTAACACTGACTATTTTGTTGAAYAATTTGCAGCATAATAATTCCTGTCTATATTGACAGATGGCATCAACTTAGTATGCATTACCTGAATGTCATTAGAATTACAGCTGGCATAAGCATTATTTCTGTACAAGCAACAAATCTCATAATTCCTTGTTGGTATAGTTCTACTTTTTCAATGGACTGACGAGCTGCCCTGATAAAAATAGCAATAAAGAAATCAATATGAGTAAAGAAAGWATGAGTTCATAATTTTAACAAGAATGTTGATGGTATACCCCATAACACGGCTGTCTCTCTGCCCTCTAATAAACGCTGAATCAAAAAACAGTGGACTAATTTGACTGATGTTCTTGACTGACAGGCCTCTTAGCTTGTTTAAATTGTAATACTAAACTTTTTTGCAATGATGAGAAGCTTGTTTGGAACTATCTACCCTGCGAACAGAGGATTTTTTCCACCCCCTTCTACGAAGAAAAGGGAAAAATTCCTCTGCTCGCAGGGTAGGAACTATCTAAATGGTCTGTCATTTTTATATTTTATCTATAATCACAGTCAATGAGAAATATGGAGAACAGAGAATGAAAATGTGAGAAGACATATGAAAAATAGAAATTTATTAGAATAGAATTGTGAAATGAAAAATCAACTAATATTAGCAAAGAAAATACTTTTTTGTCAATTGGTTTATATTTTGAAATTTGAATATTGTGTTCTTTAAAAAAAATGAAAACCTATTCAATATTTCCATATCTTACCTGACTATTGATAGATTTACAATCCCACCAGAACCAAGAATCTACAACAGTTGACAATACACATTCATCAACAAAAACTTGTAATCTAAAGCTAGTTGTGATTACTTACATCCAATAATTTCTTGGTAAATGAAACAGTRTGCAGAATAGCAAACAAAGCCACAGGAATTAAAATCACTACAATGTTGTTAAGGCATATTATCATCAAATATCACAAAATTGCAGCAATATCTAAAATATAAAAAATATCTGCATATAAGTGGGTATTCTGACATTGGATTCCACTATCGATAAATTAAATGATAATTAATTATAATCTTTCTATTATCTCAAGCAAGGATAAATTAGAATATGATTAAAATCTTCAATCCTAAGAAGAGTAAATTTAACCCAGGTATTGTTTGCAAAAACAAAAATGTTAGAGTGTTTGGTGAAGTTTTCATTGTGTACTGCACATTTGCATCTATATTCATGAACACATCAGTTTAATCAAATTTTGTCAAAAGTAAGGATACTTGTTACTGGATAACAATTAATGAACATAATGCAGTACATGAGATAATGACAGCTGTCTTCTAGGAATAGTTGACCCAAATACTCTCTACTTAGCTGGAACCTCTGCAAATAAGAAGCACTGACATTTAGCTATTTCTCTYCAAGACATCAGATTCTCATTTGAGGACAGAAAACTCATTGGGTGATAATTTATTTGTGTCCCACCATTTACACATCCAAACTATTTGAAATGAGAACTGATGAGTAGAAGGAGTAGCAGGAGGTTTTCATTTTGAATTTACAKTAGATAACAATCTGATAGACAAAATACTGTCTCAGATGAGTATGACATCTCTAACTTAACATAAGAGACACATTGAACACACTCAATGCGACTCATGTAAAATATTATAGTTTGTACTTGACATTGTTATGATAAAAATGGCCATTTGAATATCAGACRAATGMAGAAAACACACATAAACTAATGACRTACAATTATAGATGYTTRTAGTAACTTACAGGAAGTCTTTGGTGTAGTCTGAGAGCTGATGTTGCTGCAGCACTAATCAGAGCTCTCTTGTAACAACTATAACTGAACTGTGGACTAAAAACAGAAATTGCAATTCTTAAATTTTAAGCCATACATCTAGAACATTGGTATTTTAGATAAAATCTGTTTTTCAATCAATTCCTAGAGATTTTTTTTTTTTTTAAGTGCAGGTACTGATACTTATAAAATGATATATTGTTGGACTCTCTTTGGACTTAAGAAAATTCCAAAAGCTATTGTGAAGTCTATGATAAATTGCTTGCCAATGAAACCATGGCAACTGTGATGTTAACTGAAAACCAGCAATGTCTTTGAGAATGATTCAAAATTTTGCAAATGAAATCATGGCATCAGGTTATAATATTGAAACTTGAGATCCCTGGCTTAAATGGGAGAGTTGAAGTAGCCTGAGTATCAGGCTCTCTCGAAGGGGTTTRGGGCGGAGCAAGAAAGGAGAGAGAGCCTGACACAATCTTCTATCAAGAGCTGTTCCGCCTCCTTGCAATGCGTGACGCGTGACAATAAATTTAAGCCGATTAAAAGCTGTTCCGGTTTGCTTGATTTCTCGATGTGGCGGTTATATGTCAAAATTTATCTAGTACATGATTTGAAAAGTCGCAGCTTTTATGCCGATTTTTACCAGATTCTCAACTTGTGGACGTCTAATACACTCTAGAGGATTGATCACTATAATCTTGAATTGTTTTACTCCGTTATAGGTCGGTGTAATGTTAGTGTTATATGAGACGTTTCCGTTAATCGGTTTGTTTTTGTGCGCATAAAAACAAACCGATTCAAGAACGGCTTGATAACGTAGTAAAAAAAAGAATAAAAGACAAGCCTCTGCAACCATGGCACTATTAAAGCTTTCCCAAACTGTTATTCACTTATATCGAGAGTCATAGCGTCGTTAGGTAACATAATAATTATATATATATTTTAATTCCTGTCACTTCCTTTGTCCTCTAGACCAATCAGCGTTTCGGCCATGAAATGTCCGCCGAACACGGCTCTCGATAGAAGATTGTGTCAGGCTCTCTCTCCTTTCTCGCTCCGCCCCAAACCCCTTCGAGAGAGCCTGATACTCAGGCTAGAGTTGAAGCCCAGCACCGTTCATCTATTCTGAACACAGGACAATCAAAATGGGGATAGGCAGCCTACATTCTAACAAACTTACCTGAATAGAGGAAGAAGAAATAATATGGAATTGATAATTGTGAAAACACGAGTCAGCCACAGAGCACTGTCAATCTTGTTCTCTGTCAAGTATTGCTTTGGAAACAACATGTTAAGATRTTTACTAACTAGAAAAGATATAAACAGCATCCCTTTTTATTTTCTTAAGCAATTGTCCCAGACCTTTGGCCAGCCTTGTGACATGAATCGGTGAAAAACTATTAAGGCAGTCTTTACAAAATCACAATTGTTTGCTTGTGATATATGTTGCTGACAAAAAGTAACGGTTTGACTTGAAATGCAATCCAAATTAATGAATACATTATAATATCACCATGTAATTATAAAATGAGAAAACATATCCACACAAAAAAATGATGACATATACAGTTTTGTTTACATATAAAGACACCCTTTCTTTCTTCCAGTGTTCTCGAATTTCAAGTATAAATACTTCACTTGTGTACCAATCAATCAAAGGCATAAAAATCAATCGAAATATGGATATTACAMCAACATACATACTCTTAAAGCCGCCCAGTTGGGAGATGAAGGAGTTGTATTCGGTGGTGGAGTTGTTCCTCCAGTATTCGGCTCGCTGGCAGCGCCAGTGTCTTCATGTGGCGGCATTTTTGTAATTAAAACAGCAAAAACCGAACTTTGTACGATGTAATCAAGGTTTTTTGACGATAAAATGAGAGAATATTCCTTTTCTCTTCCCACCAAAGGGTTCAAATTGAAGTTACTTTCGATTTCTTTAGAACCAGGTGCTCATGGGGAAAACCGCTGACAAAAGAATATCGTTGTACCATGTACCAGTCCTTCACTGCCAAAACAAGTGTATAGAGCGGATTTCGTATGAGTGGGACACCGTACGTTACCGCACGGTTACCGCACAGTTACCGGACCTGGCCTGCACAATTTTGGTGAACCAATGAGGCACTAAAATTTGGTTACAGTACGATTACGGTCACAGTACAGTACCGTAACTACCGTCCGTTTCCCACAGTACGAAATCCGCTCTAATGCATGCAGTACCATAGTGCAGAGTTTCAGCGGGTCAAGATAACTTTCCCGTAAATAAGAAGCGAGAAAGTTTCCCCTCTTACAAATGCCAGTATTCTGCAACTAATAAAAAAGCCCCGAGGTATTACCATAGCCACGCCCTTTTGAAGCGCCCAAAAAATACACAAACACAAACTCTCTTGGTTGGGCTGCTAAAAGTATTCTACAAAGACGGGAATAGCGATTTTATCAGTGCGTCCACTCAAACCGAGGCCACCCAAACAAACTTTTTATTGATAATATTATTTCATAATCTTGTCATGTAACCATTCAAATTCACCGTTAGGATCACCAACAACGGTCTGAAGATTTGGTTTGAGTGCTTGGTTGCCTGTTCTTGGTCCAGACGCACTGAAGAATTCTTTTTCTTGTTTGATTTTTTTTATATGATCTCAGATTATTTACAGTATTGAATGAACTACAGGTCTCACCAACCTTCTCTTTTCATTGTGATAACATTGTTTTTTTTTATTTTTTATCATTTAAAAATGCAGAAATCTGGCTCCGTTATGCACGGAGCAAATACTCGAAGACTAAACTTATAAAAATATACTTTGTATGATTGTATCAAAATATATTTATACAAAAATATATCTCTGTACATATATGAACCAAAGTCGAATAATAAAGCTATTTGGTCTAGCAAAATAATGTTGGTCTTGTGAATTTGCTCTAAATTCATCAAGAATATTTGAACTCTTTTACGTCACTTAACAACCGTTACTAACGCAGGGCAGTCGTTCCATGACAACGTTGTGTTACTATTTGGTAATGAGAACTTGACTATGCAAAAACATTCATTTCAGAATACTGCTTTTTCCAACAACACGAACAAGACATTGTCCCGGAAACCTTCCGAGGTGATAAAACATTAACTCAAGACCTTAAAATCTAGCGAATTGATGTGTGTGCAGGGATCGCTCCGTCTGAATAGTTTGTAACTTTTATCCAAAAAAGAACAGCTAATGACTTTCTTGCTCTTCTTTGACTTCCATTTCGAACTGGTCCGCAGTCGCCTGTTTCTGCTGTGTTTGGACAAGTCGAGGGTTTTCCAGGAAGTTCTGCATGAAGTTTTGAATCTCGCCACGAGCTTCTAGAAACAAAACAAAAACAATCACAAACACGAAACAAAATACAAACACCGWTGGAGTTACCAAGGATAACAACTTTGACAATTGGGGGAGGGCAGGGGGATATACGAAATACACAGTTTTAGTTACACATCATATGTTCTAAAGTCCACATTATAGAGGCACCTGTATTATCAAGTTATTCGTATTACAGGGTGTTTTAAGTCYTCTGAGATATCATTCTACCTTGTAGTTTTCTTTCTGCTTCTCCTTTAGCTGATCTCTCTTTATCAAGTTCTTCAATCAAAGAATCTAAAGTTCAGAATCACGAAAAAAACGTCAAACTACATTCACAAAATCCTTCTTGTACATACCAAGGGTCCCCTTCTAGTAATAAGAGACTGAAATTGTTTGCTTAAATTCAAAAAATAGCAAGACCAGTTGTGAAAAGATTTTTTTTTTCCCCTCTGAAAGAGACGGGATCCTAAGAGGCTACGGAGCATAGATTAAAAACAATTAAAGATCAACAAAAACACACTAAGTTCTTTATCGTACATTAGTTATGTAAGTAAATAAAATCTTTACCATTCATTTGTTTCATGGCATCTTGCGATGTATTTTGTAACTGTTGATCAAGCAAGTAGACGCGTTGTTGTTCCTCTGAGATGGACAAATAGAGCAGTCTGCTTAGCATCAAATATCGTACAAAAATAAACTTGCTGTGATACATTGCACTGCCTTGGATGATAGATTGGCGCATTGGTTGATAATGATAATTATAAACACTCAACTCTAACAAATTTAACATACCTGCCAGCCTTTCGCTGAGCTTCTTCTTYGCCTTTTTCTCTCGTTTGAACTTCTTATGCCAGAAAGCTATTKAAGAAGATAGCGAGTGATATATAATTTGCTGTTATATAATGAACCAATGATAGCACGTCCATACCTTTACTACGCTGAAGGCTTGCACTTAGTTTCTCTGCTTTTTCTCGGGCGTCTTTCTCTCTTTGCARTAGTCTTCGTAATTCGTCTGATATGAAATAAAAGGGTGGGGTAAGTAAAGTAAGTAAACAATAGAACAGTTCTAATAAGTTTAATAAATTACTAAATAAATAGTTGTGTAAAAAAGATAAGTTTAACACCGTAAAAAAGTAGGTGAAATAACTTACTGACGTTTCGGACTTTACTATTTTTTAATTAGAAACACCGACGCAGCTCACACTCGTTTACCGTTAGTTCCCACCATTACTAAATAGTCTGAAGAGTTCTTACTACTTTCTAGTTGAGCTTGTCTTTGTTGCTGTCTAGCGCTTTCTGCTGTCACCTTCAATAACCCTTGAATGTTATGCAGTAAAGTCTCAACCGAACCATTCTCSCGGTATTCAACCTAAAAGTAAGCAAATACTTGTAACCTTATAGCAACCAAATAACCATGCCAACTATCGCTTTTTAACAACATGGATGAGTCTTACCTCAGGCTTAAGATGTATCCGCGCTGTTGATGCTGACAGATCCGAGCCTGCTTCACTAACAATCCCTCTGTTTTCCACATGTTCACTAACTCCTGTGCTGCTGACATGAGATACAGACTGCTCAGATTGAGTTTCTGACATTAGTGATCGTACAGGAGTATGGGTGATGTGAACAGCATTTGAAATGGCTGGACTGCTATTGGTTTGAGGAACAGAGCTTCTTATATTGACCATTGTAGGTAATCGCGATGAGGATGGTGTTCTTGAATTGTATGCAAAAACACCGGAATGAGAAGAAGATATGTAGCCTGAAAAAATATTGATATAGGTTACGAGTACAATTTGGCTCTTCTTTATTATAAGGACTTTATTTCAAGACTTTTCATTATCATACGCCCTGACAAACTAACGATATTTAAACAAAAACAAAATTGCGCACGGTTTCTCCTGCAACCTTGCCTCACTTTTCATCGACTAAATAGTTGCCGAATAACCAAATTCCATTCTTTTCCAGAGTCTCATTCAGTCATTTCCATACATCTAATGGTAATAATATGCTTTCTAAGGATATCCTACAAAAGATATCCTTCACGGACGCGGTCAGTTTTCCCGCCATTTCTGATGATTTTATACGTAGGAACACCTTCGTGCGCGGACGCCATCAATTTTCCCGCCATTTTCATAATAGCATTTCTTACCATTTGAAGCGCCAGTGAAACGTGGAACCGCAGAGTGTACAACATGACGGTGTGGAACTTTGAACGCATTGTCCTCGCTATTATTATTGCTATCTCTCTGTTCAGTTGGCTGTTCAACTTCATCACCATTATCYTCCTGTCCGCTACCCGGAACTGTCTCTGCCTGACCGGGTGATTGCTGCGTGTCAGTTCGGTAAATCTTGAATGGATTGTTAAGCAGTTCTGGAGGAATTTCGGGATTCTTTCTACGTCGACCAGGCCCTCTGCAATGAGTAAGTAATTGGTGAAATATAATGCATACCATTCTTGGTCTATTTAGAAAGACAAAAGAATTCATGAAAGAGCGCAGCAGGCTAGCTGTTGCCATTGCTCGCTGCTGGGGGTAGGGGAACTGAGAAAAGGAAAGATAGCCTGCAATCAGCACTATATAATTTTGATTTCGCCAGTGAATTGAGGCTACTATCAAGGGCAACCGGMAAATTTAAAAATGTCGTATATCTGAGACGTGAATGCATGGGAAACTTATCTTAAGGTAGCAAACCATTCTTTTTTCGAAAACATACAATGTTGACGACAAACCCGATTTTATCAGTGATGGCAAATGTAATGCGGCAATGTGGATCTTAGGTGTTTTCGACACTTTCTTCAACTTCGGGGGTAGGGTGAGGACGGCCGTTAAGGGATCGTTATTAACGATGCTAGTTCAAATGATTATTTATTATGAATTTTGCTGATAAAATCGAAGACGGAGTCAAATCGGCAAATCAAATTACGATTTTTTGCAAAAAAGGAAATCTTGATATYAAATGTTTCAAAAGAACAAATGAAGAAAGTGTCGAAAAAACTTAAGGTCCACCCCCTTAGTCGATTCATGTTTGCAAAGCAGATGAACGCGCATACCCAGCGAGGATTTTTGAGCAACTTTCCGAACTTTAAAAAATTATTTCTCGGCAMMGAGTTGACAGATCGACACTCGGAATGGTCGGTTGGGATGATGGTTTATCTGTTAATCACTGATAGGACTTTCGCTATTAGAAATTGAGCATTTAGGGAGAAATATTTTTTTGAGTGCGAGCGTTTGGAAGCCGCTTCGAGCGGGAGTTGCAAACCTTTCCTAAATATATGTACACTCGGAAGGGAGAGAATCTTCGAAGTGCTCAAAATCACTCCAGAGACACTTCTATGCTAATATTACTACACCAACGTGTTCTTTAGTAATCATTCTAACTTTTTGAGAGATTTCTGAGAATCATTTACAGTTTTCAGTGGGCTTTGAAGACATTATTCCGAATCGGCCTACTTTGAAATCGCCCCGTGTAAGAGAATCCGGAATCCAGTAAAAAAATACAGGTTTGGAATCCGGAACCCCTGTCCTGGAATCCGGAATCCCTACCCTGRAATCCAGAATCCGGATAGTGCAGAAGATTGCTTTTATCGGTGAAAATCTAGCTCTCTAGAGATGGAAACGCGCACCCAACTGAGTATCCTGTACTTTACTGTACTTCATATACGTAGTTTGTTTGTCAGCGTGCGACAAATATTGGAGACAATGCAAATTAGCGTCGCGCTAGCTTGCGTTGCCGACGCCCTGCGCAGGCTACTGACGCTGAATATAAAATTTTCAGGGAAAAAAAAACTTGAAAATCACACCATTTATTATCCGGAATCCAAAACAAAAATTCTTTGGAATCCGGAATACCAAAGCTTGGAATCCGGAATCCAGCGCTTCGAATCAGGAATCATCTAGTTCTCTGGATTCTCTCTGGGGCGATGAGGGGCGATTGAAACTAATTTTGATTACGGTCCAACACGTTACGTCATCGTCCTCTGATTATAAGTTTGGGCTACCTGTGATCTGCMGAATTACATTTGGTCCATTTGCCATCACAAAATCAAGTTTGTCGTCAGCATTGTTTGCCAGCGTTTTTTAATTGGTGGCACTTGTGGGCTTCCGTAAATACAGCTATTTTAAAACCGTTGTCGTAGAGAACCGTGAGATGTGAGATACCCCAAGCCGATTTCAGAAAATTAAATATTGATAAAGATCGTAGGAACATTGAGGAAAAAGTACAGCGGGATCCTAAGAGGCTACAAATGCATAKCTTACAAGCAATTAAACAAAACACACTCAGTTTATCGGCGACCGTTGTTATTCAGTAGATATGCAATCCCACGGCTGTGAGTGTCTTTAGTGAAATATCAGTATAATTTATCCGGTGAACTCAGACAACCGGGTTCCTGGGAGTTTCTCATGACTTTTACAGTTCCAAAAAAATGTGTCAAGCCACTAACGCTAACGGTTGGCGACTTTGAAAACGGAGTTTCAGGGATTGCGATCGGCTGCTCGAAGTGGAAGATGGTGCATATCGTWTTATTTTCACTAAAAATAAAGTGTATTTGGTCTTTTCTACTTGTTCTTTCAGTTTATTTATCGGGGATACTATGATAATCATCTTCTTTTCAGACAAACACTTTGAAAGTGACGTCCAAAAAAATAGTTGCAAAACGAACTAAAAAATGTCCTAACTSACAAACTCAAGAATGTAACAAGTCATTTTACAAAACGTATGATTGAAGAATTAGTTTTCAAAGACTGTGTTTTTATAATTCAAAAAGTTGAACTTGATATTTGTAGACAATTTTTAAGGAATAAAAGCGAAGAAGTTCAGCATATGTAAAACATTKATCTATTTTCGTGAAAGATTCTTGTTGCATGAATAAATATTTTAAGCTGACCTTTAGGTATAGTATTACCYGCACAAAATGCTAAAAAAAACATCGAATTACAAATACTAAGATTGTGCAAATCACGTTTTGTGGTTTTTATGAAAAACTTTAAAGAAACCGGTCCGCTCACAAATGCACCAAATCTCCATAACAATATGACGGAAAACGGTTGCATTGTTAATAAAACAGTCTGAAACGCTACGCTTAATCCTTTCAAATCGTGTAAATGAGTCAACTTCAAGAGCATTTACATAGAACCATGGCGGCTTTTTYAATGTCAACACTGGGCAAGCCTCATGCAAACCTTGCTAATTCGTGTCTCCAAAACAGCAAAAACGCCCAGCAATTACAGGAACTTGTTTTAGGAATCTTTTTAGAATGGATTGCAGCGATGATTAACGAGTAAATTCATCTTTTGTAAAAGAATACGTTGTTCTGCAATGTTAGTATTTCGAGGTCAAATTGTTCTAAGATTAAGTTTATCTTTAAAATTTAAAAGTATATGAGACCAACATTTAGGAAATTGTAAAATAAGGAAGTTTTGAAGATCKTTCTTCAAGCCATCCTGCGTATGTTTATCATTGACATACCTATAGAGGAGGCAGTCTTCATAAATCTTATTGAAATCTTCACGTGAAATCAATTTGCAGCGGTTTACAACTTGACCAATGGCTCCAACACTTCTCATCATTCGAACTTGTTCCACATTGCAGTTTCGACCCTGTATATTCATTCGTTTTAGCTTGGTGTACACTGTATGCATTCCTGACACCAAGTCTTTCAGGAAATATTCATAGACTTGTGGAAAGCACAACAAATCCTCGCCGTCAACATTAAAAGCTGCAATATCTATACCATTCATGTTCACCATTTTTAGTTTGTATTCTTTTCCAAGTGGAAGGGAGAGGGAATCTGGTTCGTGGTATACAAACTCATGCGACGTGCCGTTCGTGTACACGCTCGGCGGCGACTCCATCTTGAGTTCCATGGTTAACAGACTTGAAATGCAAAACTTTGAAATAACAATCTTGAAGAATCAACAAGGTTGTTAATTTAGACAATGTCTGAACCACGTGGGACGATATTCGACTTCCTTTGGCCCCGCCCATTTARTAGTAATATTGGTCTGTGATTGGACAATGTCTTGACATTTTATATCTTCAGTCAATCAATACTTTAATGTTGGTGAATAGTGTTTACGATCTCGACCCTCTGGAGGGATCAGATTTAGCCAATCTTGAGAATTAAGTTCAACATAAGGAATGTTAATGGCTAAGATCAAGTAAACATGATTACACATCACCAAACATATTGTAGTCAACATRGCACGAAACTTATATATTCGAGTCAAAATTAATATAATGAAATTTCTACTACTAAACTAAGGCAAAAATACTAAGTTGTTTTCGAAGAGTCTCTTCAATAGTCACAGAAAACACTGAAATTTGACCTCTGTTTTGGTACTCAAAAACCACTCTTATCTGAACAAATTTTTTCCTCTGTTTCCACTCAAAGATCCACAGTACACGTACGCAACAAAATATTTTCAATAATTCCACAGATCKTGGTTTTTAATAGTTTGCAAATCAATTTCTTTAATTTCTGCGGATTCTAAGCCATCTAATGCATATACATTCCACAAAAACGTTAGGGAATGCTTTTTATCAAATTATCAAATTACTCTAAACAAAGTTAGGAAATGGTTTCTCTCTCTACAGTCACAAATCCGCTCTAATCTTGCAAAATATTTTCCATAATTCCACACTGTTCTTGGTTTTCAAATTATCTTGATAAGCATGTTAAGAGTGTCAACTCGTATATTTGATTTCCGCGGATTCCGCGTTCACACAGCAATAATGATTACACAAAAACGCATCGGAATGTTATACTCTAAACAAAGCCRAAGTCTGAAATATTTCACTTCAGCTATTAATTGACAAGTTCGAGAGTGTAATTTTAGCAATGGTATTGTATTTGAAGAATGAAGCAAAGAACAACAGTGCATTGTATTTAAAATATTCAATTAGAATGACAGATTTTTAATTAAAAGAGTTCGATGGCAGTCATTGAACCAGCAGGATTAACCTTTCAATTCAGACAACTCACGATTAGCCTCGGGCTTTTGTTCATAATATTAATTACAGATTAAATTCTAAAATAAAATGAAATGGGCCTTACATGAAAAACGTTCWKTTCGCAAAACACATAAGAAACAAAACCTTCAGTCTTTTCTAGTKAGCAAATACAACTATCAAGGAAGTGTGGTTGAGGCAAAGAACATGAAAGAAGAGTTCGAACAATGTTGTTTCAATCTAAACAATGTAACATGATAGCAATATTTGTAAAAATAAAATAGCGGTATGYTTTTGGTCACCAAATATGTTATTTATGCATCTCTATTATTCTCCAAATGAACGTGCGGAGAAATCATTAACAAAAATCAACAAAGACAAACTTTGTTTACTAAATATCAGATTGAAAACAATTTGTGGTTTGCACTCCCCAAAAAAGGGGGAAACATGCGAGAAACTTTTAACAATATCGACTTGTCGGCAGTGACTACCCAAACGTGCTTGACAAAAGTTCAAAAATTTGCAAAATGATCGGTGGTATTATTTGAACAAACATATTGAACATTCATCTAGTTGTAATTACCAACATTCTTTACAAATGACTCAATCTGTTTCAACCATAATTAGCAGTTCGTCGACAAACAATGGTGAAATACGGTCAAAGAAAACAACTAGAGAACAATATCAAAATAGTTTCACTTCGCTGTTGTCCCTTTTTGCTTTTTCATCACGAATAAAGTAGTGGTGTTGGATTAAAAACGTTTTCTTCAATCAAATTCCCGAATGTCCAATATTGRAAACAAGCTTAACATATCGCTTGAATATCACCAGTTAGAAGACAGCATTCTTTAACCAGTTAGATTTGGAATTGATATCATTATCATCATAATCATTAATCTCTATCATAGTGAAGGGTAGAATTAGTAGTTTTTGAAATTGGTAGCAATAATAATTATGATATGAGCGCAAATTTCATGATGATAAAATAAACAGCGAATGATAATAGCTAAAACATGTACACTTTTCATAAATCAGATCATCCACACGTTTGCGCTGGTTGACATTCAGTTTTTGAAAGTGAGCCACAAACGTGACSTGTTAAAATCAGCGAGCGTACAAGGAAGCAGGAACAAAGTTTCCTTTTTTTTTATTTCCTTTCTTTCGTCACCGTCTTCYGTCTTCGCTGCAGTCCCTGTTCGCTGATCTTAGCATGCACGAAGGTGCTTTGCGTCTCCTTTAMCGCCTATAACTTCATCAGTGAATATTCTACTTGAAAAAACTTCAATTTATAAAACAGATTGGCATTTATTTAGAGGTAAATACATTCAACATATTTGTCTTCAAAATAGTTTCTCTTTCCCACAACAATTGTGGGCAAATAATGCTGTACATGACTTCTATTTTATGACTTCATTTGTGCAAAATGCTAGTTTTTCCTATATTAAGTTTCTAATATTTAGTTCTTAGCTGATGTAAGGTTGAACAGCAACGATCGTAGATTCAGTGCTAGGAAGGCATTATCAGGGTCACAACTACGTAGCATTTCTTGTACGATCGATGGAATCTGGAACGCCTCGAAATATCGACGATTGGACCTATAAAATAAAATGAAATGGCATGAAATAAAATGGAAGGAAATAAACTGTTGGAACGAAAATACGAAATAGAATGTACGTATTCTTCTTTTTAATTTCTTTCTTTCTGACAAATATTGCATGGAATGACTAAGATTAAATAGAAGAATAGAAGGAAATGAACTAGAAGCAGAACAGAACTAAAAAGGAATGAAATAGAAGGCAATGAAGGGAAGAAGGGAATAAATGAACGAAATGAAATTTGCGATTTCTTCATTCTACGTTATTTCTGCATCCATATTCGACTTACTTGCTCTTTGAAAGTCTCTGTAAAACAATGCTGAGTTTTTCGATGAGTTTCTGGTCGACGTTTTTGTGTTGGAGTAAATTAATGGTTGTTCTAAACCAYGGCTCGTTACAACAGCTGTCCAAGAAAGCTTGTAAGAATGCTGCAACAAAAGATATCAATACACATTACTTGTGAAACGCAATGAACAATATAACAAACAGGAAAACAATCCACAAAATCTAGCCGTCAATAAGGTAGACTCCTTCGCAGCCTGTACCCTGGTTCCAGAGGCTTGTCTTTTWWTTTATTCTTTTGCTTACTATGTTGTCGAGCTTGGCGTAAAAACAAACCGATTAATGGAAACGTCTCGACGCTTCGCGGCTCGATAACATAGTAAGCAAAAGAATAAAAGACAAGCCTCTGGAACYAGGGTACTCTTTTGTCGGTCGTCCAGGACATTTGACGAAACAAGAACACGGCTGTGAAAGAGACTACCAACCATGTGCGGCACTCAGGTGGACTGCTTCTACGTCTGTCATTCATATGGAGTTGATTATATCATTAAAGGTCGAATGTACTTACGTGAGTCCATAGACATGAGCAGCATGACGTCGACAGAACTACTGAGGAGGGCCTGAAAACAAAACAAGCTTGTGAAATAAGACAAGCAGAAAWACAGATTGGCATTAAACTCGACGGGAAACCTAAAATAAGACAGAATCTGCATTTCTGATCACAAAGGTAGAGAGAGAGGGTGAGAGACAAATAGTCAGACAGGAATTGTCAATTAGCGGTTAGTTACCTTTTGGGTCGGTTTCATAAATGGTAACATGATGTTGGTTCCTTCGTACATCAGAAACAGCTGTTTACCCTGAAATGGTTTAAAATAATCACAAGATGCATTAACACTATAAACGCAACAACACGACGCAAAACAATCCACTACAACWCTATGAAACGCAATACATCCAAACACAATGACCGCGCAACCAAACGCAAACGCAAACCAAACGCAACCCAAAATAACGAAATGCAGTAGAGTCTAATACAACGTAATAAACACAATTCAATCTCACACAACGAAATGAAGTAACGTAACCTTATTAAACGCAATGCAATGCAATACCGTGCAAAGAAATGCTATCCAACCTAACGCAACGCAACGCAACGCGACACAACGCAATTGACAATTCAATAACAAAACGCAACAATCTCATCCAATGCCATCCAGTTCTTACAATGTATCACGCGTCGCCATCATCCATTTCATATTTGYCGTACATACCATATCATCCCTCAGATCGTTCTTGAGTACATCAAATACGTGCGCGAGATGATCAACTACAAGTGACAAAATTATTAATGAGTTTGAATCAACAACTATAACATTGTCTGTGCACAAACTACACAAACCTTGCGATAGTGTTTTTAGAATGATAAGTGATGACAATAGACGAACACTAAGGTTAGGACTGTAGAAGTAAATATGACTTTGTTTGTCTCCCTTTATTGGTCCAGCAACAACACCTTCATCCGTCACCTTCGCCATCTAAAAACATGGAAGGGTATAACCATTATATCATCATGGTTCCTAATTACATTTTATGATGGATTATTTAACATCTTTAATCAACAAGGACGATAATCAAATTCACCTGTGGTTTAAGGAGTTCTTCACCAATATGACGAAACGTTGATGCCATTGATGTCCTCTATAATGAAGWTATTGAATTTTTAAAAGCGTTTCATTGCACAATTGAATCACAGACRCTGCGTTGCTACATTCAGTTCCTCTGCTACACTTTAAACTACTTCAGCCCACTGTAAACCATTATATTTGACTTCAATATTTTCTAGTCTGTTTTGTAACATCCTAGTCCTATTCATTCTTCCATATTACTCCACTTAAATTCAGCAAAGCCATTAAYTGACAAGTCAAAGAGCTACCAATTAACTACCTGTGATCCTGACACAGACTTCTCCATGTAAACAATGCACCAGTAAGTGAATTGCAAGCAGTTTTCCTGCACTCTTGGGTTTATACTTGGCAAAAATGAAAGAATGTCTGCCATTGGTGGAAGAATCTGTGGAATAAAAGACATTGTTTATCAACTATATTTGGCAACTTGTTAACCCAATTTGGTAGCAAGAATGCAATAGTGTAAAATTTAACATCACCTTTTAAGGCCAAAATAATGTCAGTCTTGGTTTACCTTAAGACACTTTTCATGGACAAGGGCTGAACAGAAGTCTAGAGACTGTTCTTGTAAACCATCTTCAGTAGTTTCATTGAATGATGGAGGCTTTTTGAGATGTGCATCTGCAATCCATTCTAAAAGAACTGCAAGTACATCCAGAGTACCAGCAAAGTTGAACTGAAAAGGGATTGCATTACTTTATGAATTATGATGAAGACAGATGTASATGACGATTATGATATCATTTGATAGTTGATAACGGTGAGTTTCTGAATACAAAAAAATAAGAAAGGAAGGAAAGATGGATGGAACAAACAAAGAAATGAAAGGAATGAAAGAAAGAAAGAAAGAATGAAGGAATAAGTAGATAAATAAATTGAAAAGGAACTAAATTACAGTATAACAGATGGTGATGATATCTATTTCTCATAAAAACATAACACCAACCTTATTAAGATTGAAAGAGACATTTTTAGGATGTTCTGAAAGAAAAGCAAATTAAAGTAATGATAAGTTTTTGTTTAGTAAAAAATCAATWAGTTTTTTGTTTTGATATGCTGCTTGTTTTTCTCTGTGCAGTGTTGTGATTTGTTATGCTGTCTTGTGTCATCTTGTGTAGTCTTGTCCTGCAATGTGCTACATGTATGTTATGTTGTCTTGTGCTGTATTGTGTTGTCTATGGGGTCTTGTGTCACGTTGTAATGTGTGTTGTATTGAGTTGTCTTGTCTTGCTAAGCTTTATTTGAGTTTTCAGACCAGCAAGAAAGAGGCAAAAATAATATAGGTGCCAGGGAGCCTACATAAGCCTTACCTATTTTGGGTTTATGCACAGCTTTGGTTCCTTGTTGAAATACAGCTTTATCACTGTTCTGCTTTGCTGTGAACTCATGTTTTCTCTGTTGAGGACAAGCAATATTATATATTAGTATAAACATACTAATGGTCTATCACTCATACTGCGCTGTGATTGGCTACTCTACTAATGGTCTAATTTGTGATAAACCACTCGCGGGAAAATCAAAATAAATAAATTATAGATTATAAATTATTTTAAGGATATTTCAATTTGTTTTCATTATTTGACCGATTAGTATGTTTATACTAAAACAATTAGACCTCTCGGCCTCGTGGACTACGAGCTAATAGCCCATTCGGCCTCGCAGACTCGGCCTCATGGGCTATTAGCTCGTAGTCCACTCGACCTCGAGGCCTAATTGTTAATTAGTCAATGGCACTCAAAGGTCTGACATCAAAAATGACTTATACTGGAGAGTGCAACAATTCACATTAGTCACAAGACATTTTATCAAATGAATCCTATGATATTTTTGTGGATACAACCAGTGTTTGTWCCTTATCACTTATGCACGTAGATTAATGGGTGAAGCATGGTGAGACAGTGTTTACAGTTCAACACTCTTATCA